CAAGGGGGAGTTCGGTGCGACGCTGGCGCATCGTTCTAGCGCTCAGGGGAGCTCGGCTCTGGACCAGGCACCAAGGGAGGAGGTGGGATCCCCGTCACTGGAGTGTTTAAGAACAGGCTGGACAAACCCCTGTCAGGGGTGGTCTGGACTTACTCGTTCCTGCCTCCGTGAGAACTGTTTCCGGCTGTGGGGGGGAAGGGGGAGGGACAAGGCAGGCTGCTGTGTCCATCTGCTGACTCCTGGGCGCTGATCTTGCAGGCCTGCCAGGTGCTGCTCGGGATTGTGTGCGGGGCCATTGGCGTGATGCTCTGCTTCGCACCGGACACGCAGGAGTTCTGGTCGGGATCCCCGTTCTGGACAGGCGCTCTGGTGAGTGGCACACAGCCCTGCCCTGCCGCTCGGAGCAGCAGCTTGGCCCAGTCACTGGCTCCCCCGCTCCAGACCCCACTCGGGCCTGTTCCTGGCAATGCTCTCTGGTAAACGAAGAGCCCGTGGGGCGGGATTTCTGCAGCTGCTCCTCGGCCCAAAGCCGGCCCTGTCTCCCCGGGCGTGAGCTCTCGGGCTGGGATTCGGGGGTCTCTCTGTAATGCCCAAAGCCGCTTCGCAGCTGCAGTTCTTGGGCTCCAGTGGCTGCCGGGGCTCGTTGGAGGGACATGGCTCGTCAGCGAGTGACCGGTTTTCCAGTCCCCTCTGGCATGGGCCAGTCCGCGGTCTGTCCTGATCCCCACCACGCTGTGCTCCCGTGGGCCCCAGGGACTGTCGGCCAGCACACGCCTTCAGCCCTGGCCCAGGCAGTCCCAGAGGAAACCCCAGGGCTACCATCTGCACAGCAACCCCCTACACCTTTGCTGGGGACCTTGGGGTGGATGCTCGGGGTGAGGTCTCTCTCCTGGCAACGCCCCAGCCTGCACGGCGCTCATCCTGGTTTCCCTTCCACAGCTCATCATCTCGGGAGTCTCTTGCATTGTGAGCGAGAAGCGTGGCACCGGCTGCTGGGTGAGTGAGTGCCCGGGGGGCTGGGCCCGGGCTGCGGGGTGAGTGAGTGCCCGGGCTGCGGGGTGAGTGAGTGCCCGGGGGGCTGGACCCGGGTCGCTGGGTGAGTGAGTGCCAGGGGTGCGGGATGAGTGAGTGCCCAGGATGCTGGGCCCGGGCTGCTGGGTGAGTGAGTGCCCGGGGTGCTGGGCCCGGGCTGCGGGGTGAGTGAGTGCCCGGGGGGCTGGACCCGGGTCGCTGGGTGAGTGAGTGCCGGGGGTGCTGGGCACGGGCTGTGGGGTGAGTGAGTGCCCGGGGTGCTGGGCACCGGCTGCTTGTACTGAAGGGAAGTGCCCGGGGTGTGGGCCCCAGCGACCGGCTACTCCCAGCCTGACCCGTTTTCCCCGTGAGGGCAGCCGCACTGCCTGGACCCCAACGCCCGGGTGGGGGGGAGCAGGCCGGACTGACGTTGGCACTTCCGGAAGGATGGTGACGAATGGGAAAGGGTCAGGAAGGAGCCACAGGGAAGAGCCGAGGGCTGGGAAACCTGCCTCCCGTGAGGGGCTGCCAGAGCTCACTGGGTTAGTGCCTCCAGGGGCGGGGTCAGCGGTGCCGTGAGCGCGGTCTGCAGGTGCCCGGAGCCCGGTCTGGGCAGGGGAGGGGTCAGCGGTGCCGTGAGCGCGGGCTGCAGGTGCCCGGTCTGGGCAGGGGAGGGATCAGCGGTGCCATGAGCGCGGGCTGCAGGTGCCCGGAGCCCAGTCTGTGCAGGGGGCGGGGGGGCTCTGCGGCAGATGGCCCTTGGCTCCGGCCGGCAGGGCCCGGACAAGAGCCGCTGGCTGGAGCTGAACCGGCCCCGTCCCGGCTGGGAATAAGGAGCCGATTTTCCCCGGGGAGGGTCGCCCCCATTGGAACGACTGACCGGGGGGGCGTGTCTCTGTCACGAGGGGTCAGTGACTCCGGGCCGGGCGTGTCTCCCACAGCCCCGCTCTAGCTCAGCTGGCCGGGCCGGATGCAGGAGTCCTGGGGGCAGGGCCCTGCGGGAGGCCGAGCAGGGTGGGCAGAACAGTCCTGGTGCTGGGAATCTACGAAACCCCTTCTACTGTGTGTTGTGGGGGGGCAGTCTGACTGCCCTGATGCCCCCACGCTCTTTTCACACGTCTGTTCACCTACCCCCGGGGGCTCCAATACCCCCCCATGTGCCCTGCTCCCTCGGTAGTGGCCCGTCTGCCGGTGGGAGGGGCTGGGCAGCCCCCTGCCCTGCGGTGTCACCTGCGTCCCTGCAGCCGCAGGCCACGTGCCCCTGCCGAGCCCAGGGGCTGGGCCAGGGCGGGGAGGAGAGGCCCCTGCCTCACCCGGTGGGTCCCCTGCCCCGCAGGTCTGGCTAGCTGCGTTGCTCACCCTGGCCAGCGCC